GACAACCCAGTTACGAGACTTCCATATCCTCCAGAGGACAGCTGTGATCATCATGAAATGAGTGGGCTGGTGCAGAATAGAGAACAATTTTTTCAGGTTGAAAGGGAATGTATACTGGGGCAATCCCTCCCCAAGATACTCCAAACCCGACTGTTCCCAAAGTGCCCTAGCCACTGGACAAGCCAGGAACAGATGCTCCATTGTCTCCACCGCTTCCCAACAAACCGGGCACCGAGGATGAACCTCAATTTCTCGCTCAATGAGCGCTTCAGTCGTCGAGAGGATTCTATTAAAAATCTGCCAAACAAACACCTTCATCTTAGGGGGAATATTGGCATTCCAAAGCCGGATCCAACTCTCCCTATCCATCCAGCTAACCTGAGCCCTCCATCGACCATTTTGCTGATCCAACCTAACCGCAAGGTGATACGCCGATTTCACTGAGAAGACACCATCTGATGTGCCTTGCCAGATCAAGCGGTCTTCAACATTCTCTCGAGGAAGGGGGATAGCTTTAATCACTCTACAAGTTGGGGGATCAAACCATTGGCCTAGCTTATCATCACACCAGCGCCCTTCCCCAGCACAGATCACCTCCGCAACCCTCACCTCCCCATCCATCGGCAACACACGGGGGTTAAACACTAGGGGGAAGTCGGATCGATGAGGGACCCACTTTGACTCAAGTAAAGGAGCTGTTTGACCATTACCAATCTGCCACCGTAGACCCTTGGATAGCAACTGGCGTCCAAACAGAATGCTCTGCCAGCCCCAAGATGGTCGGGATCTAGTCGTGGCTGAGAGGAACGATCCATTTGGAAAATACTTCCCTTTGTAAACCTGGGCTAACAGAGACTGTGGTTCAGTCAAAATGCACCACCCAATTTTAGCCAACAGAGCCTGATTGAATAACTCAAACCTACGAAACCCCATCCCCCCTTCATGTTTACTGCGACATAAGCTCCGCCAAGACATCCACCGAATTTTGGATTGACCCTCCTCCACTCCCCACCAAAATCTGGCTACATGTTTATCCAGCAGGCGACAGAGAGCTAGCGGAAGCCTGAAGCAAGACATCACATGTAAGGGCAGGGCCAAAGCCACCGACTTTATCAAAGTCTCCTTAGCCGCCCAAGACAAAGTCCTCCGCTTCCACCCTTGTAATCGCTCTATCAACTTTTCCTCCAGATATCGGAAAGTTACCATCTTGGAACGTGCTATCAAGGTAGGGAGGCCCAGATACTTATCCTGCACACCCACAGTCCCCACCCCAAGAATAGCCCCTAAGAACTCCTTATCAGGCAATGAGATATTCTTACTAAAGCAGACCGCCGACTTATTCAAGTTCACTATTTGGCCACTTAATGATTGTGAAATCATAAATCATACAGAAAGTTATACTGAAAAAATTTAGTGGTAGCTGATATTTTATAATAAAATTGTGGTTTAGTAATGGTTCAACCATTTTCGATTGCTAAAATCGTTTATCTAATTGGGTTCAATATACGGTATTTTCGGTCCGAACCACGGGTACGGTAAGGTTTCTTAAAAAAAGGAGCAAACAGATGGAACCGATGGCAAAAATTTATTTAGACAAAAACCAATTAGTTTCGCTAACTTGAGTTTTTGGGAGAGGTTCATGTATGGTACTTAACCACTTCTTTACACGTTCCCTCAAACGAAAGCTAACTCGTGGATTTGAAGTTTAAACAGACCTACCGTACTATGTGGTTTAAAGAAAACGATTAATATTGGGGGTCGTGAGTATTTGAAGACGTAATCTCAAAAACAAACCAGCTCTGATATTGTGTCATAAACCAGTTGGTCCCAATAACTCAAATTTTTTTTAGGTTTATGCATGATACTAAAGTATTAAATTGCCATAACTTTTACTTAGATATAACATTACCTATGTACCCTTATGTATTTCTAAGTGATGATCTCTCAAACTCGTGAATCATGCATGCAGCCACGGCGTTCTCCAATCCATTATATATACTGAACTAGCTTATAACCTGGCCCTTTGGCCGGAATGTTCATATTTGATTATTTGTATTTTTATGTTACTGTTAAGTCTATTAATCCGTTTAATTTTATTGATAATCATTCGATCGAAAATGATACATAAAGAAATAATATATAGGTCGAACATTCGGAGAAATATCATAATCATTTAAGAATATAAAATATAAAAATGTATCATTGACCCCATTTTCATAATGCTAATTAAGTCCCTGTTAAAATGCTATTGGTTAGTTTTCTTTGACAGTCAAGAAATATAGAGTATAAAATCTCACTGAAATTCTCACACAACCCATAGATAGTTTGAAACTAAATCTTAAACCTCACAATCCTATATAAAGGGTTCAATGCTCTCCTTTTAGAAACAATATGTCACTAATCAAAAGAAATGGAGAGTTGTTGATTCAAGTCATCTATATACTAAAAACTCAGCTAAGAGGGGACCATCACAACTTGAGAGCAAACGAAAAAATCAGGGTTATCTCCAATATACGAATAGACTCGATCAAAGTAATAAGGCGCAAAATTAGACACTCCTTATCTATTAGTTCCAGTAGGTTGAATAAAGAAGCGACCTATTTCAAACAATCAATCAATGATTCCTCGTTTTAAGATAGAAATAAGTTATGATAGTTGCAAAAACCATAAACCTAAAGATCCAATAGCCACAACTCTCCGTTGTACAACCAAATTTCTATCTCAAGAGGCATATATTCAACCAAAAATTCAATTTCTAATCTTCTTCTACAACTTCAGTTATTGATGAACTCCATTCTATTCGCCATGAATTGATATCGGAGTTGAAATCTTCTACTCGCCCAGTTTAAAATCCCCAACAATAAAACTGTAGTGCCAAGAGATACCTGAAGATTGATTTTCAATGACAGTCTTGTACTGGGAAGTGAAAGGCGCAAACTATTGCACGATGGATGAAATTTCGGAGGAAGTTAGAAAGAGAAAAGAACAAAGATAAAAAAACACAAAATTTAAATTTAAATTGAAAAATGCAAGGATAAAACAATAGTTACATAATTAGTTTCTTCCATGTTGGCCAATTACCCATTTACCTTTAGCAAAAATTAAGGAGAGAGCGAGAATTTAAAATTGAGAAAATTACATGAAACTCTACTATGAAAATAGAAGTATCAAGCTCGATAAAAATACATACGGTACTTACTAAGCTTGCTAATTATGATGAAAAAGTCCTCTGATTTTGAGAGATTAACTTTGTCTATTTTTTGTATAAAAATGGATGCAATAAATTTGTTTAGTGTAACTGGTTGTGATTGTTATCTTTGTTTGAAGAGACCCGGGTTCAAATCTTGATATTGCTATTTTTATATGAAATAAATAATAAATGTGTTAAGACAAAAATGATCTTTCTACTTTCACTCTCGTTGCAGGAAATTTGAAATGGAGAAAAATATACAAAACTCTACCATATATTAATGGAGGATGGTTAAAGGTCATCTTAAAAATTACTAATCATCGTCCTAACTTAATATGTAATTTACTGAATTGCTCATTTTGAATTTCAAAATCAAACACAAAACAAACAACCCCTCCCCTTCCATAAATCTAAAAAAATATAAACCAAAATCCAACAAATTATCTTATGGACCGAATCATAAATCGTAGTAAAAGAATAGAAAATTATTGATATAAACCAAACAAATCCAAAAAAATTCCGAAACCCCTCAACGAAGCCAATTTTCGGTTGAGGGGTTTTGGGTTTTTTCGAAAAAAATCGGATTTTTACCTCATTGGAGTCGCTACTCATGATTCGGACGTATTCCCAACGATTACGACTCGAGAATGTCAGCGATGAATTCGATAGTGTGGGAAATTGAGCGTTTTTTTATTTTTTTTAGTTAAAGTGATGTTTGTTTGCTAAATATGACAAAAGGTTAAAAGTGTAATTTATTATTTTTTAGATGATCAATAATAATTTTAAGCACATGTTAAGCAGCGAGCAATCACACAAATAGATGGAACCGGTGGCAGAAAATCTTTTCATGTTGCTGTATTAAAATCATCTTCCGCCAATTATTATTTGAAGGTTACTAATTATGATGCAAGATCAATTTGTCTTTACTCTTTACACCCTCAATATCAAATTATCAAAAAGAAAACGAAACAATCAGATTATGTCTCTATTAACAATCAGAGTGATGGGTCCTGCCAAACTGGATAATATTTCGTGAACCCCTAGGCCACCTACCACCCTTCAGTACACACTACACTGCATTACACATGATGACATGAACAAGATATTATTGTTTTTTTTTTATATAATTAAGATATTGTTGTTTTTAAGTATGTACACAATCACCCGACCTTTCTTATGGGTACTTTGTTTAAAGGGTTTTTCAATAGAGGTAGACAAAAGTATTCACAATATGTAGATAATCAATCCAATTATAATTTAATTGGGTATTGTAAAATTCGAATTCGAAAGATTTTCAATTGGTATGATTAACACTTGAATTCGAATCTTGTGGATAATGAGTATGCATATATATATATTATTGTCCAACCCAAATATGTTCAGTTATACACATGTATCTGTATTTCGTCTCGAAATAATAATTATTAAAGTAATATGAAATTCTTGAGCGACCCGACAACATCTTTTCCCATCTGAACACAAACCTATTGCTTTTCTGATGAAGTGAACACAAACCTATTGTTACTTGTTGAAGTTATCTACCTCTTTAAGTTGCATTTAATAATTTATTGGCACCTCAACCACACTCTGATTTTGTACACAAGTGTAGTGCTTAAACAATCAACTGAAGGATACTTCTCGAGCATATATACGACTCTAGAGGATTTAATCCTATCGGTTATCATTGACGACAAATTTTACCTATATTAAAGTTTAACGTCGTTGTTGGCGTCCTTTAAGTTGGAGGAAAGAGATCCTATACAGATTGTGTGTTTACACCTCTGTTTCAAATTTATATTTTCCCCACCTTGCTTTTCAAAATTATTCATTTGTCTGTGTTTTACAGGGAATTACTTCAATGATTACCCGATGTTGCATATTAGGCGACTCCACCAAACCAAGAGCATCTAACATCCCCTCATGCATCGTCAGGCCGACAATTGACGGAATTTCAAACTCGATCCCAGGGGCAGTTCGATGGGCGGGACGAGGAAAATCACGTGACCCATGCAAAGAACTTTTTGGAGATTTATGACTTCGTAATTCGTGAAGGAGACCTAGATAGTGTGATTAAGCTACGTCGTTTTCCCTTCTCACTTTTTGAGGAAGGGTGAACACGTGGCTCGATTCTCGCCCTCCTAGAACGTGTAGAGCATGGAAAGATCTTGCTCTAGCATTCATAGATGAATACGGGGTGCGGATAGTATAACAACACTAGAATTGTTGTTATAGTAACAACAAGGTAAAAGGGTAAATTGACAAAATATCACAAATTAAAATCTCAAAAGCAACGAATTCATATTTTCTCCCCCACTCTCTGCTTCCTCAACAACTCTACTATATCAAAGCTCTCTCTTCTTCACAACAACCGCAATAGCGGCGACGCACCGCCAAATCGAGTTCATTGTCGATCACTTCATCCTTCGCCGGAGCTCTTTGCAAGAACCCGTCTCTCATCCTCCGCCTCATTTTTCTGTTGTCGTTTTTCTTCATCGACAGCAAATCAAGATGGTGACATAGAGGGAAGTGGTTGGTGGTCGGAGCTCGAATCATAGTGTTGAGCACCGCTGCGGCTTCGTCGTCAACATCTCCAGCTTGGCCAATTACAGCTTCGAAGGCCGCACATCCTCGACCCTCCATGTGACTTGAATCTGACTATCAGCCGATACGACTGGTAATCGGGGGTCTCACTGCCCTGTCAGCGAGTGGGGTCCAGGGGCAACGCCCCCGACCCACGGTGTATGGGCTCAATGTTATTTGGGTTCGGGTTCTGGGCCTGGTCTGTAACCGTTTCCTTTTCCAGAATGGATTAGGTTTAGACCCACATGGAGAAGTACTATAAATACTTCTCATACTCCTCTGTAATCTGTAATCTCCTCGATATATTGAAACTAGCTCTCTCCCCCCCGTGGACGTAGCTAACACACATCGTGTTAGTGAACCACGTAAATCGTGTGTCGTGTTTTCGATTCTCGCTTTCGTATTCTTGCTTTGTCGATTCCTGCGATTTCCCGATCCATAGCAGCGCGTTTATAACAAGTGGTATCAGAGCCGCGGTTGGAAATCAGGTTAGGGTTTCCGATTCAGAAGAATGACGTCGATGAACATGAAGATCGAAAAGTTCACGGGGAAGAACAGCTTCGCTATATGGCAGATCAAGATGCAGGCTTTATTAAAACAGCAAGGGTTGTGGGGGCCGCTGTCTGCGAAACAGAAGAAGGCAGCGGTCGATGACGATGAGTGGAATATCCTGGAGGAGAAGGCCCACTCGACCATCATGCTATCGTTGTCTGATGACGTCATCATTGAAGTCGCTGCTGAGAAGACTGCCGCGGGCTTGTGGTTAAAGTTGGAGAGTCTGTATATGACGAAGTCCTTAACCAACAAGCTGCATCTCAAACAATGGTTGTTCAGCTTGAGGATGCAAGAAGGTACGCCTTTGAGGGAACATCTCGAACAACTTAACTCTATTTTGCTGGACCTGCGTAATATAGATGTTCAAGTTGATGACGAGGATGCTGCCCTAATCCTGCTGGTTTCTTTGCCGAGTTCATATGAGAATTTCGTTGATTCTTTTATTGCTGGTAAAGAAAGCGTGTCGTTGGAAGATGTCAGGTCTGCTCTTCATACGAGAGAGATCAGACATAAGGCGTCCAGATCTGGAACAGGTGGTGAGGCATCAGGTTTGGTTGTTACAGGTGCAAAGGGAAAGAAGAAATCTAGTAAAGGGAATTCGAACAAGAATTCCAAGGGTCACGGTCCACAGCCAGGTGATGCTTGTCACAACTGTCCCAAGAGAAGAGGGCAACAGAAGAAACAAGGTTCAGTTGTCGTGGCAGAAGCGGACAACAGTTCTGAAGACGATCTCGCCTTGGCTGTAGATGAGAAGGCACATCGTGGGGATGTGTGATTTCTGGATACTGCAGCCTCATACCATATGTCTCCAAACAGGGATTACTTTACAACCTACGAGCAGATAGATGGTGGTAACGTGGTCATGGCTAATGGAGATGTCTGCAAGGTTGTTGGAATCGGGTCCATAAAGGTTCGGACACATGATGGTTTGTTTTGTACCGTGAATAATGTCAGGCATGTTCCACGAATGACAAAGAACCTGATCTCCTTGAGTCTACTCGACAGTAAGGGTTTCAGTTTCAAAGGAAAAGGTGGAGTTGTGTATGTCTGCAAAGATTCAAAGAAGGTGCTGAAGGGCGTGAAGCGTGGGACCTTGTATGCATTACAAGGGTCTGTGTTGTCTGGTTCTGCTGCAGTTGCATCATCTCAGGTTCATCAGGAAGATATGATCACTCTCTAGCACATGAGACTGGGGCATATGAGTGAACGAGGGATGCAAGTTCTGTCAAAGAGGGATCTTCTTTGCGGGCACAAGGTGCAGAATTTGGAATTCTGTGAGCATTGTGTGTTTGGGAAGCTACATCGCAGCAAGTTTCCCAAGAAGGGTATCCACCGGACGAAGGGATACTGGATTACCTCCACTCCGACTGTTGGGGTCCTTCACGAGTTGAATCCATTGGAGGCAGCAGGTATTTTTTGTCTATTATTGATGATTATTCGAGATTTACTTGGATTTTCATGATGAAGCAGAAAAGTGAGGCTTTCACGAAGTTCAAGCAGTGGAAGACATTGGTGGAGAATCAGACCGGGAAGAAGATCAAGAAGCTGCGAACGGACAATGGTCTGGAGTTCTGTAACTCTGAGTTCAACGAATTCTGCAAGGATGAAGGGATTGCCCGTCATCGGACTGTGAGAGATACACCCCAGCAGAATGGCGTTGCAGAAAGGATGAACCAGACGTTGCTGGAGAGAGCACGGTGCATGCTCTCTAATGCTGGATTAGAGAAAAGATTCTGGGCAGAAGTAGTGAACATGGCGTGCTTCCTGATCAATCGTGGACCTCACACAGGTATCGAGTTGAAGACTCCTTATGAGGTGTGGTATGGTAAGCCTGCTGATTACTCTTCACTGAAAGTTTTTGGGTGTCCTGTTTATTATCATGTGGATGAGGGTAAACTGAACCCAAGGGCAAAGAAGGGTGTATTTGTGGGTTACGGAGATGGAGTTAAGGCATTTCGAGTTTGGTCACCTTCTGAGCATCGAGTTATACTCAGTAGAAATGTGATATTTGATGAGAAGTCTATGTTTAACCCCATGTTGAAGGTTACTGTTGTTGAAGGTAGCAGGAATGTTGATAAGCAGGTGGAGCTGGAAACTCTCAAAGAGAGTGAGTTTGAGCACCAAGGTGGAGAAGATCAACATGATGAGAATGTCTCTGCAGAGCCAGAAACTTCAGAGTCCAGTGCAGGAGCTCAACAGTCTATAGCTTTCGGTAGACCAAAAAGAGCGACTGCAGGAGCACCTCCAGAGAGGTATGGTTTCGAGGACATGGTGGAGTATTCATTTCAGGTTGCTGAAGAAGTGGATGCAGGTGAGCCACATTCCTATAGAGAAGCCATTTCGGGTGGCGAAGCTGATCAGTGGCTTGCCGCAATGGGAGATGAGATGGAATCCCATGACAGGAATCAGACTTGGGAGCTAGTCAAACGACCATAGGGAAGGAAGATTGTTACAAACAAGTGGATCTACAAGAAGAAGGAAGGAATCACTTCTAAAGAGGGCATGAAATTTAAAGCTCGGGTGGTTGCACGAGGCTTCTTGCAGAGGGAAGGAGATGACTACAATGAGATTTTCTCACCAGTGGTAAGACATACTTCGATCAGAGTGCTACTAGAAATAGTGGCACATTATGATTTGGAGCTCGAGCAGCTAGACGTGAAGACAACTTTCCTACATGGAGAGTTGGAGGAAGAAATTTACATGACTCAGCCAGAAGGATTCGAGGTTCCGGGAAAAGAAGACTATGTTTGTAAGCTGAAGAAGTCCTTATATGGACTTAAGCAGTCTCCGAGGCAGTGGTACAAGAGATTTGACAGTTACATGCTTGAGCTGGGCTACAGCAGAAGTCCATATGATTGTTGTGTATATCACAACAAGGTGGAGGATGGTTCGATGATCTATCTTGTTCTGTATGTGGATGATATGCTCATAGCTGCAAGGTCAAAGTCTGATATCCAGAAGTTAAAGGGGCTTCTCAGTGCTGAGTTTGAGATAAAGGATTTAAGAGCTGCTCAGAAGATTTTGGGTATGGAGATTTACAGGGACAGGTCGGGGAAGAAGCTTTTCTTGTCAGAGAAGAGCTACATCCAGAAGATATTGGCGAGGTTTGGCATGTCTTCAGCAAAGCCCTTAAATACTCCTAGTGCTTCAAATGTTCATCTATCCTCAGCTTATGCACCGCAATCAGAGGCTGAGAAGGAGTACATGTCGAGAGTCCCATATGCTAGTGCAGTAGGTAGCTTGATGTACGCTATGGTATGCACTAGACCTGATCTTGCACATGCTGTTAGTGTTGTCAGCAGGTTTATGATACAACCTGGGAAGGAGCATTGCCTTTTTTTTAATCCTTCACGCAAGCAAGACGATGAAGCTTTTCTGTCTACAGGCTGTGAAGAGGATCTTCCGGTACCTTAAGGGTACACCTGATGTGGGGATTAGCTTCGGAAGTGATACAGAGTGCTTGGTGTCTGGGTATTCTTACTCGGACTATGCTGGAGATGTTGACACGAGGAGATCGATGACCGATTATGCATTCACTCTTGGGAGTTCTGTAGTGAGCTGGAAGGAACCTTTGCAGTCGACGGTGACATTGTCTACTACTGAGGCAGAGTATATGGCGTTGAGCCGTTGACAGAAGCTGCTAAGGAGGGAATATGGTTGAAGGGACTGGTTGGTGATCTGGGTCTACATCATGATCAGGCAGTGGTGTATTGCGACATTTTGAGTGCAATATGCTTGGCCAAGGATCAAGTCCACCATGAGAGGACTAAGCACATCGACGTGAGGTATCATTTCTTGAGGACAGAGAAGAGGATTAAGGTGAAGAAGGTTGGCACCGCGGATAATCCTGCTGATATGTTCACGAAGCCGGTTCCACATGGCAAGTTCCAACACTGCTTGGACTTGCTGAATGTCTTGAGTGGGTGACTCCGCCCTGCGGGGCATTGATGGCGGGAGAGAGATAGAAGGAGCAGAGTACATCAGAGATTTCAGAGGAAGAGGATTCAAGTCAAGATGGAGATTTGTTGATGTGACTTGAATCAGACTATCAGCCGCTACGACTGGTAATCGGGGGTCTCGCTGCCCGGTCAGCGAGTGGGGTCCAGGGGCAACGCCCCCGACCCATGGTGTATGGGCTCAATGTTATTTGGGTTCGGGTTCTAGGCCTGGTCTGTAACCGTTTCCTTTGCCAGATTGGATTAGGTTTAGACCCACATGGAGAAGTACTATAAATACTTCTCATACTCCTCTGTAATCTGTAATCTCCTCGATATAGTGAAACTGGCTCTCTCTCGCCCGTGGACGTAGCTAACACACATCGTGTTAGTGAACCACGTAAATCGTGTGTCGTGTTTTCGATTCTCGCTTTCGTATTCTTGCTTTGTCGATTCCTGCGATTTTCCGATCCGTAGCAGCGCGTTTATAACAACCGCCTCTCCAACTTCTGGATCTAGATTTCAGATCTGGTGGTCAGGGAATTGAAGAATATTTTGTCGGGACATCAGCTGGAAAGTGGTTCCGGATTTCATAACAGCGGCG